GTGCCCGTGTGCACGCATTTCGAGGCACTTCATTTTCTGCCATCGGCATCTTATCTGAGTGCGGCTGAGGCTCACTCATGTTAGTATAAGTCCATATCATGTTTTCATGTCATTCGCATCGTTTTAGCATCGCCTCGGTTTGCGTGCCCGTGTGCACGCATTTCGAGACACTTCATTTTCATCCGCCGGTATCCTATGTGAGTGTGGTTGAGGCTCACTCATGTTGGTATAAGCCCATATCACATTTTCATGTCATTCGCATTGTGTATGCCTTTGCCTCGGTTTGCGTGCCCGTGTGCACGCATTTCGAGGGACTTCATTTTCAGCCATCGGCATCCTATGTGAGTGTGGCTGAGGCTCACTCATATTGGTATAAGCCCATATCACATTTTCATGTCATTCGCATTGTGTATGCCTTTGCCTCGGTTTGCGTGCCCGTGTGCACGCATTTCGAGGCACTTCATTTTCAGCCATCGGCATCCTATGTGAGTGTGGCTGAGGCTCACTCATGTTGTTATAAGCCCATATCACATTTCCATATCATTTACATCACATTCTGTCATTTTCTCGGTTTGCGTGCTCGTGTGCACGCATTTCGAGGCATCTCTTTTTTTATAACATAGTGCATACTAGGTTGTATCTTAGATCGCATTCTGTCATTTTCTCAGTTTGCGTGCCCGTGTGCACGTATTTCGAGGCATCTCCTTTTTTACAGCATTGTGCATACTAGATTGTATCTTAGATTACATTCTGCCATTTTCTCGATTTGCGTGCCTGCGTGCACGCATTTCGAGGCATGTCATTCCGTAGCATTGTGTATGTTAGGATTATATCTTAGTTGCATTTCATGATTTCGAGGCATCTCATTTTCATCGTATTCTGTCATCGCCTCGGTTTGCGTGCCTATGTGCACGCACTTCGAGACATCTCATTTCCGTAGCATTCTGTATCTTAGGATTGTATCTTAGTTGCATTTCATGCATATCATGCATATTGCATCGTGTCCGGAATAGGAGTTAGCCCGGGCACGGGAAACGAGGTACATTTCGTATTCCGAGTGACGGAATGTGTCTCAATTCCCCAGTCACCGACACTCCGGATTATCCATGATGGAGTTAGGTTCTAGCTGTAGTTTCATGTGCATTCATCCTATATTCAGTTGTGCATTTCGACTCCTCGACCATCATGCCTCGGTATGCGTGATTGGTGGCACGAAGATCGAGACATGCATATATCTGTGCAAATACATTGCTATGCCCCTTTCCTGCTCTTTGTTGCAGCAAAATGAAGAATCAACAACTTTTTGGGGATTGGCACGCATTTCAAGAACAGGTGTAAATAGAGGCTAATTGGGGCATTCCGATGGATTTCCGCGCAAGGCAACCTAGATATGCATCATCTATCAGAAGCAAGGCAGTCCCTGGCTTGCACGCCAGTTTTATTTGCTTTCTTAGTTAATTCATTAATTAATTAGGAATTTGTATATTTTTCGGACTGTAGTATTCTTTTTTTCGGACTGTAATATTTGGACTGTATATTTATTTGGACCCTCTGCGCGAGGGCACAACTGTAATAAGTGTGCGTGAGTGTGATGTATGTCTTCCAACCCCACGTCTTTCTCCCTTTTATTTATCCGTTTATGATGGTTAGATTAGGGCATATTTCAATTAGCATACAGTATGACAGCATGTTTGCATTCATTCATCTGTATTGCATGCACCGGGCTCGGCGCATCATACTAACTGCATTGTACTTTCAATTCCAAAGTTGAATACATGATAGTTGTAGCATTTCATATGCCATCTTAGAATAGCCGAGCCTGCTATAGTTGCATTCTTGCATGTGTTGCATTAGGCATTTCTGTATACTTAGGATCATGCATGATTTCTAACGTAGTTTCTATTTTGGCTTGGAGTACTCGGTAAGTTTTTTGCTTTAGCATCCTTGCATGCGTGTGAGTGACCGCCATGAATAGCATGCTTACCATGAAGCTATGTGCTTACATGATATACTTGCCTGAATGCCTGTGGGTGAAGGTTGGGTTATCTGAATTGGAATAAATCATCAAATGTTTCAGGCCTACCTGCGGGTAGCAAACCATTTTTCAAAAAAGACAAACATGAAATGTTTTGTCCCAATTCAGGCGACCCGGTCTATATTTGTATGCTGTAGGACTGGAAAAAGACCATTTGATGTTCTAAATGAGGTCAATTCTAGAAGGGGCAATGTCAAAGTGAAGTAGGAATTAGTCCTGGACCATTAACGGGAAGAGTGATTTGTGCATCTAAACCATGTAGTCAATAAAAGAAACAGAGCTTCCATACAAAATGGAGCCAGTTCCTTTGGTGTCCTAATCAAAATGAGATTTATACATGTTTTTACTTTGATATGCAGAAAGCTACCCTATTGCACACATCTGTGCCCAGAGATATGTCATCCTGGTCAATGCCCAGCACCTGAGAAGTGCTCTAAAAAGGTAACATTTCAGTGTTTCAAAATACATCATGCTGGCATTACTTTATCATTGTGTCATTCAGTCGTAATTCATGTGCAAATGAATCTATTCATGTTATAATTATACTTGAGTTTCTTCTTTTGCTATTCTTGTCTAATATTCAAGAGAGGAGATTTTTATTGTAGTTGTTCCAATGTATTTCCCATGGCTTTATGTAGAAGATTTTGTGGAGTGGCTAATAAGAAGAACAAGGACTAACAGAACTAGGAAACCTGGGATATACCAAGTTTATTGTGAAATCTGGCATTATCTGTCTGTGAAAAAGGAAAAAGGAAAAAAAAAAGCATTAACATTTCCTTTTTAAAATGAAACATTTCCTTTTGTCTGTGACAAATGAATCTATTCATCTTATCCCACAATAACATTTCCTTTTTTCCTTTTTCCTTTGTGAAATCTTATCCCAGAACTAGGAAACCTGGCATATACCAAGTTTTTTTTCCTTTTTCCTTTTTCAAATGAAATCTGGCATATACCAAGTTTATCCCTCACTCATCAGTGGTTGGTTTAGCATTTTTCTGTAGTTAAACAGGACTAGCATAAATTAATTGAGCCTTAATCTTATCCCACATTGGAGGGGAGCAGCTTCTGAGCTCATTAATCACCTCTAGTTAGTAAAATAAGATTAGCCAAAAAAAAAAACAAAAACAAAAATAGCCCTAATTTTACCTTTTGAGTGGCCTGTTAATTGAAAGAGGAGAATTCTAAAGCATAAACTTAGTTACTATGTGAAAAGGACGATTTCCTCATTTACTGGTAAATTAACAAGGTTACATTATCTTTGTAATCCAACATTTTTTCGAGTTACAAATTAAGTTGTCATTTTGTTAGCTCATATAAAAATTAAGTTTTCATTTTGTTAGCTCATATAACTGTCAGTAGATTAATACATGTTTCTCCACATACAGTAGATTAATGAGTTTGTTTTGTAGAAGCACTTGCTCTGATCTGATATTGTGATCTATTTGGATGTTCAAGAATTCTCAACTGCATGAAAGAGACATCAGGATGTCAAATGTGGTTTAGAAACAATAATACAAACTCCTATTTCTTATTTGTTGAAAATTGAAATTATAAATCATTTCACTACATCTATTGTAAGCAGAGAATTTTCTTTCTGAGAAATTTAACATTTATAGTTATTATAATTGCCTCATGCAGTTGGCTTTTTTTTTCTTTTTTTTTTTTGAGTATTGTAGTTCAATTTCACTTTGTCACCTATCCTGTCTCTATTAATTTGCAATTTTATCTATTTCTTCTTAAAGGTTACTGTTCGTTGTGGATGCCAAACCCTGAAAAAGGAGTGGTTGTGTCATGATGTTCAAGCAGCCTATCGCAGTGCCAGAAGTGATCTGAAAGATATATCTAAAAATCAATATGGACTTGGACTACTTCCGTGCAATTCAGGTTGCAGGAGTAAGGTAAAGGTTGCAGACACAGAATTGCAACACCGCAAATCTACAGTTTTAAAGGTAATCCTTATATCTTCAAGTGAAACATGCCTCATCATTTATTTTGGGAGCATCAGATGATACGCGTGGGCTAGTGGTGAAGGTTTTGAACATGGGAGCTTTACTATGGGGTAATTCCTAGAGGTCTCATGTTTGACTCTCACTGGGTGCAAAAACACTCCGGCTTAAGCAATACACACAGGCTGGTTGGAGTTCTCCATCATATAAAAAAAAAATCAGATTAGAATTCTCTAAAAAGGAAGCCCCTCTGTTCTGCATTCGTTTGTGCTTTTGGTACAAAATTGGATTGAGTCTTTATTTAGCTAGTGTCAACAACATAAAATAATTTGATAAGTAGCAAATCAACTATCAAGACTTCTGAATCGCAGTATTGTTCATCTTTACTAGAAAGTACAACCATTTACTATTTTTTTCTGTTGATTTGTCATTTTTCTATTTAACTATTTGGGTGTTTGAATACCTACTGAAATTTGAATATTTTTCAAGTATCTTAGTTGGTCATGTAATATAGAATGATCAGTAAAAGCAGTGGACTTACAACTGAAATGAAATGTGTTGAAATTGAAATCATGAAATTATCTATTTTAAGGCTCTGTTTGGGTGAGTGGGTTTGAAATGAAGGGATTTGAGGTAAAATTTTGTGAAATTCTAGGAAACTGGAGACATGTTTTGATAATTTTGAAGTGAATGATTGAATAAAGATAAGAGATACACGTTAAAATCTTTACATAAGTAGAATTATTCACGAGAGGATTTCAAATAACTATATTCACCAACTTATTTCAAATTCATCAATCTAAAGCTCTCAAATCCATTATTGGAATCTAGATTAACAATATTCTAATAAAAAGGCTACACTTCTTCAATGAGTGATGCCAAATCCATTCAATTGAATTCCGTAGATCTAAATCCAACCTAAAATTGTTGGGAAGGAGAACTATGCAGATTTAAATAATTTGTATTATGAATAGGCTCACAACAAATATGATGGGGGAAAAAAAAAAAAGGTCCACTTTCTTGAATTTCCAAGGCTTCTTGTATTAATTGTGGCAATAACATTCTTGTAGCCTACTTCTTCATTGGTTGAATAAGTTCAAACCCTCTCTAATGAGGACCCCTGGATACTGACAAGATTAGTTCCATGGAACTGCCTTAAATATGCCATTGCCAATAGACAAGAAGAAAGAAGGTTTTACAGTTAGTGTAGCTGGTGAAGTGTCTTAGTAATAACAAAATTCATTTTACCTCCCTTGAAATTTAACCCTGGAGCATTTTATACCATTACTATTCAAAAAATAGCTAAAGAGACCTCATGTGGTTTTGGATTAAATACAATAACTCCATTAACAGCGGGTGAAAAATGACTATAAACCCGGCTACTATGTTCTCTTTATCTCTCTTTTGTTATACACATAATGTTTTATTTAATCGCATATTATCTAATTAAAGTAAATACTCCTATTTTTATAATCTAATTGTAATTTTTAACTTAATTTTTTATTTAATCACATTTTTAATTGTACATACATATAGTGTATATATATATAATAACTGTACGACTGTCTTTCTCCTTCAATGTTTGTCGACCATCACTATTATATCTATCCCGTCACCAGCTTCAACAACCCATAATTCATCCATGAGGCAAAAGGACACATACCATGGACGAAAATATATAAGTACAATTTATGTATATAATATATATACAGTGGAGGGGATATGCACATCCAAAACATGTAATGCCCCAGTTTTCAAAAGATTAGTTAGGTGAAAACTAAATAACCTAAGCTTAATCTCTTAATAAAAACTCCACTTTCAAACCATCTCAAACATTCTCAAAGCTCATTCCTTTACCATTTCCCATTAATTTACAAAATGCTCAATTTACCTTGTAGAACATGACCAAAGTCCAATTACTTATGTTTCAAAATAGATTCTGTTTTTGTTATAACTACCTGGAGCACCAAAGTACAAGAAAAGATGTAGGTTGTAACTAGGAAAAGAATTTTCATTGGGAATGTGACTGCTTGATGGTTTTTGCAAAAATAGTTGGTTTATTAAATAGTTGCTTCTAGAGTTAATTACCTAAAAGTCCTATTTACAAATGTTATGGTAGCTCAGGTCCTATTAAAGATTTTCTGAACCAATAAGTTCTATTTAGTAAAACTGATAATATTATTAGTTTTTCCTAATTTTTAAAACTAAAAACATTATCAATTTTGCATAGTAATGCTCTAGATAATTGTTTCACTAACTGATGGAAAAAAACAGAGCATGAGGTTAAACGTTTTTGCCTTTTTACTTATTGGTTTGATTCAACTATCCAATAAAACTGAAAACATTATCAGTTTTTTCCAGTTTTAAAACTAAGAACATTATCAGTTTTTTCATTTATTTATTTATTTTTTCCATTTTGCACAAAAAATAATTCAGTTTTTTCAAAAAAAAACATATATATATATATATTTTGCACATAATTTTTTTTTTAGTTTTTTCAATTTGAAGTTGATGTTTTAAGGTTTTGAAAATTAAAATAAATGTCAAATCATCATGTTCCCTCGTAGATAATCATAAATGATGAACAATCATTGTTTGAAGGGTAATTCCAACAATTAAAAATTTAATGAAACTTGAAGGTTCAAAAAATCTTAGTTAGGATTTAATGAAGTAGAAGTCCATAAATTAGGATTTGTTTGTAAATATCTCTTGTTTCTATTTTGTTTTTCCAAAAGAGTCAACTCAAAGTCACCACCGTCCCCCTTATTTAAAACACACCAAAGTTCTCTTTCTTATCATGGCACACAGGATTTAAATACCGAACTGGAACTGAAATTTACTGAGCCACATTAACAATTTACAATCATTAGTTGAAAGATTTACACTGATGTAGGACGCCTTAGAAAGAAAGAAAAGAGAGGAGAGAAGAAGAAGAGGGCCACAGCCTTTAACACTCATAATTCTCATTAATCAAACCTAACTATTACAATGCAAAACCCTAATATATATAGGCTAGAAAACCTAATCAAAATAGGAAAATTGATGGGACTTAAGGCTTGGTTTGGTTTAACAAAAGAAAATTTTATTGATTAAAAAGCAAGAACAAACACAAAGAGGATAAGATGTCATTTACTAGAAACAATGGCCATAGTACTATGCATCATACAATGCCTAATACAAATGGCAACAGCCCCAAATAACTTAAGATCTATTATTATTATTTTTTGATGAGCAACAAAAGAAAATTTTATTGATTGAAAAGCAGGAACAAACACAAAAAGAGGACAAGATGTCTTTTACAAGAAACAATTACATGGAAAAAAAAAAGATTCAAAAAAGCCCTAAAGATCACAAATAGCTTTTCAATCTTTGGATAAAAGAACAAATGGAACCCCTTTATAATGAGTAGAAGAAGTCACCCAAATTGACGCCCAATGACACTTTGTCCCACAATACATCAACTTTTTTAAACTTGTCCAAAAAAATCCTTGCATTCCTTTCTGACCAAATTTCCCAGAACATGGCAGAAATGAGACACCATTATAACACTTTCGCTCTTTTCTTACGTCTAAAACCTTGGAAATCAATCAGGAGCATACTATTACATTTCCTTGGAGCACCGCTATATGTTCGTTTGGTCAGGATTGTTGCGATAGATTTGAGTGGAGTTTTAGGGCTTGCCTTCCCTTATCCTTGCTTCTTGTTAATCATTTATTTGTACAAAATGAATGGTTAGGTTTGCCAATTGGCATAGTTTGACAGAAATGCTTGATGGGATGGTAATAGAAGACTATCCACCAGTTAGAGCCCGAAAATTTGGACTGAGGATCGTAACCTCCGAGTATTCCCGATATTGTATCTCAGGGATGAAGGAAGACAACTTGTGAATAAACCTTAGAAATGATGATTGTGTTATGAGTGGCTAATGTTGCCGGTCTCGGTTGCGTTGGAAAAATTGTTAAGAAATGATATGGTTTAATTCAACCCTTAATATATTCTCTTATGTGACTGTCATTGCATGCATACGCATAGTTATGGATCCATGGAAAGCACATTCTTTTTTTGCTCACCCCCTACATTTCAGGTTTGAATCGGAGACCGGCATCTTAAGCTTAGAGAGGGATTTCACCTTTTGGACTGAAGATTGTATACCTAGTATTAATTTCAGGCAACGGCCTTTTTGTCATTTTGCCATGTAATTAATCCCGGTTCTATAAATCAAATGGTTAGTTAATGAATATTTATCCTTTCCCTCATTTCTTTCATTTCATTATTAAAATAGTTGGAGGTTGTGAGTTTAATTAGTAAGAGAAATGGATTTCTACTTATTCAAATTTCACATAGGTTAATTAGTTTTCGCCTAATTAATCTTTTCAAAATTTGGGGCATTACAGGGGGAGTGTGTGTATCTTCACAATTAGTATCCCTTGCATCCAATAAATGTGTGAGAGATATGTGAACCTATGTTTAGTATTAATAGATCTGATGTAGCCAGGCTTTGGAATCATATTAAATCACACAAATACCATTTGGCTATGATGTCGTGATATATCAGCAAGATGGTTACTCAAATTACGCTATAAAGATAATTATTTACATTTGCCATTACACTATGAAGAGAATTATTTACATTTGCAAATGGCAAGTCATAACTATTGTTCATGGAGTTTAGAATAAAAAATGCTAGAGACTCCAAAAAAAATACCAAAAATTCTACACAACAGTATTGTGTACAATTTTTTTATTTTTTTGGGATCCTTAGCATTACTCGTTCAGAATAGAATGCAAAGTCAAGAACAGCACAAAGAACAGAAACACAAGATCTTGGAACAGTCAGGCATATTCAAGAGAGAGAGAGTGCAATACAATGTATTTAAGCTTAAAACTTGAGGCAGAAGATTGAAAGCAAATTGAACGTTTTTTTTTTTTTTTGGGCTGGGCTAAAACAAATTGAACTTACATGCTACAGGCCGAGACCATTTCAAAGAAGGTAACATCATTAAAGGGGATGTCCTTGTCTCGCATAGACTCTGCAAGAGAATACTTTGGCTGGTTGGCATCCTTTATTGAAAGCACTCATCAGAGATGAACAAGCAATAGCATCCGGTTGGACATCATTCATTTCCATTTCCAAAAGTATTGCAGATGCTTTTTCCCAATTCTCTGCAATTAGAGAACTCTTTAAGTTTAGCTTATCATGTATATCCTTCTAGTCAATGTCAGATAATTAAATTACTTACCCACAGCATTATATGCATGTATCATTGTGGTATATGTAATAGCATCAGGACAACAACCTTCCATCTTACTTTGGCTCGTTGGCATCCTTTATTGAAAGCACTCATCAGAGATGAACAAGCAATAGCATCCGGTTGGACATCATTCATTTCCATTTCCAAAAGTATTGCGGATGCTTTTTCCCAATTCTCTGCAATTAGAGAACTCTTTAAGTTTAGCTTATCATGTATATCCTTCTAGTCAATGTCAGATAATTAAATTACTTACCCACAGCATTATATGCATGTATCATTGTGGTATATGTAATAGCATCAGGACAACAACCTTCCATCTTCATCATGGTGAACATAGATTCTGCTTCAGTGAGTTGACCCTGAAAATTTGTATACAGATGAGATTCCTTTCAAGTCATGTAAGTGATTACTTAGAGATAAGTTTTCCAAAACCTTGCCTGTTTACTGTAGGCACAGATCGCAGATGAGTACACCTCCTTGGACAAGGGAATTTTTTCTCCCTAAGAAATTCTAGAGCTTCATCATACTTTGACATCCTACAACAACTACTTATTAGCACAGTGTAAGTAACAGAATCAGGTATAACTTTCTTTTTCCTCATAGATCTATATAACTTCAAAGCTTTCTCATACTCCCCCACATTCATGTAACTTCCAATGGCAGAGTTATACGCAATCGCATTTCAGCAGCTGAAAGTATGGAATCAATCAACGCCCACAGGCAGCCAAGAGGGTACAAATTGAGACAATGTTTGGCTGCATCCCATTTTGTTCCATCTCACGCAGCACTTCAATGGCTTTGGCTAGAAACCCATTAGATCCATAGGCATCTATAAGTGCATTGTAACTTACCACATTTGGCTTCCAATTGTTTCGTTTCATCAGGTCAAATATTTCCCGGGCCTTTTCAGGTTGCTCAGATCTTCCATACGCATTGAGCAAAGATGTATAAGACACAACATCTTGTCGAAAACCATTTTGCCTTATCTTGTTGAAAATTGACAGGACCTCTTCACTCATAACTTGTGAAGCATAGGCACCTATCAAAGCATTATAAGAAACAATGTTGGGTTGTAAACCTTCTGCAATCATGGTGTTAAAACAGTCTTGCAGTTCTCAATCCATCCACTAACAGAATACAAATGAATCACGCTAGTGAATGTCACAATATCAGGATGACACTCTGCTCTTTTTTCCCTCATTGAATTGAAAATATCAATTAGCTTTCCCATAATGTCCAAGCTTTATCAGGCAATGTATCACAATATTAAGGGTAGTGGTGTCGGGACGGATACTTGTCCCTTTCATTAGTTCAAAATAGGACAGGGCTTTCAAATACTGAGCTCCACTTTTGTAAGCAGACAGAACAATATTGTGTCTCACTAGATCAGGCCCAACTCCATTCACTGTCATCTTCCTGCAAACTTGCAGAGCTTCTCTCCATTTTCCACTAGATCCACATGCATTGATCAAGTTGTTATGTGTTGATCGACTAGGAGGAATCTGCACAATAACTTAAATAAGCTAAGGTCACAGATGTATTCTGTAGAATGATGGCCTCAGAGACTGGAGAAACTGCACAAATAAATTATACAAATAAAAATCAAAGATCTATCCTGTAGAAAGATGGCATCAGAGACGTATTATGAATTTCAGATAATGACAACAAATAAAATGACGACAGATAATATTCCATAATAAGAATAAACAAGATAGAAATTGTTAATAGAATAGTTATGCATGATGCTAGAACAACATAAAAAATTCACGCATTCCTAAATAACAATTATAATCAATAACCACATAACCATAGATCACCATGACTAACTAAATTGCTTTATGCATTCAAAACCTTTAAGCAGCAAGAAACCTAGGATTGCAATAGAATTCAGCAAGGGACATTCAATTAAGATCACCAAGGCAACTAGGCAGATAAAAAATGACGCAACCTCCAAGGCAAAGTGGTGCTGAGTAGGAGTTTCATAATTTCTCTCAAAAAGTAAATTACTCGCAAAATTACCAGCACAAGTCAAGTATAAAGTAAATCTGAATGTATCTTAGTTCCTGAGTTGGTATATTTCTAACATGATGACGATCTGTAGATGTCACATCCCACTAGAAAAATTAAATAAACAAAACACTATTTGACAAGTTGAAATACTTCTCCAACTAAAGAATCTACGTCTCAATTCCTTCAATTCAAGTGATATATTGTAATAGAGAGGACTCTGACCAATTTTATTTTATTTTATTTTTTCACTTTTCAAGTCACTGACTTTTTCAAATAATAACTTATTTATCAAAACTCTGATAGGCTCTTCCCTTTCCAGTGCTACATACAAAGAATAGACACTACTCCAAATTAACTAAACATATTTTCAAACTAATTAAATCTTTTGTTCCCACAAACCACACTGATTTCCTTCAACAACCCTGTCAATTTAAATCAGATCATGCAAAAATTAGAGCTAATCCTTCCAAAACTCCACCTGAAGTTCTAGAATGATCATAATTTGCAACTATATTTTGTGCCAGCCATATGTACCAGTAGATCGAAAATTTAATAAATAACTAAGCATCTAAACCATGGTTTTACATAACGCCTGTTACATAACATACCAGCCATTATGTAACAGGAATTTGAAGGCTGATTTAGTTACAAGGTAATATATTAGCAGTAAGAAAGAGTGACACTGTATCAGCCATTACGGTACCTTAACAAGCTGTATTGGCCATTAGTTAGCCAATGCGGCCGTTACAGCTACAGTCAACATAAACACACCCAAATGCTATATGGATCACATTTTACACTCCTTTTTCTTCCTTTCCCTCTCTGCAGCTGCACTCTACTTGTTCGAAATATTGTAATCTACTCCATTAGGGCTCGAGACTTCAAAGTTCAAGCTTGATATTGGTATTTCTTCTTAGTGTTAAGGCTAGTTGCTTCATATCCACAGATGTACTTGATTTCAAGTGCTTTTTCTTCTTTCTTTTTTTGGCAATGATTTTTTTTTATATATAAATATTATTTAGGAAATTTAGTGTTATATACCATGTGTTCTCTTCAATATCTTGTGTGCTGTAACTTATAAGATGAATTGGCTTCGTGTTGTTTTATTTTTACAACTTTCCATTCTAGTAGCATTTCTAATTATTCTAGTTACTGAAATTTCCTTACTAGATGAATTTCTCCACTTTTTGACCTTAAACAACATAAAATTCAATATCATTTATGAACAAAAATGTTTTTAGGTTCCACAACATCGATTAAAAATCATTATACATTCAAATTGTGATAAATAGGTTTAGAACATATTTATCAATGAGTTTTTTGGCATGTGTTAGTACTTCAAAAAAATAATTATGAGTTTAGTCTCCAATGGGAAATCTACAATATGCACCCCCTAAAAAGTGCACTTGTAAAAATAAAGTTGCGAATATTTGTGATGGAAGTCATGATTTTTGAGGTGAAAGTTATGAATGGTGAAGTTATGGTGTACATCCTAAAGTTGAAGTTATACTTTTTGTGATGAACAAAAAAGTTAAATTTTTTGTGATAAGCAAAAAGTTATACATTTTGTGATAAAAGTTATACTTTTTTGTGTGCATACCATATACACCCTTCTTGGGTGTACACGGTAGCCTTTCCCATTGTGAATTCCTACTATATATTAGTTAAGACTCCAGCTAACATTACACTACGATTTAAAACCATGACTTGAACTATCAAAATTTATACTAACAAAAATCCATAAAGAATATTACAAGTGATATAATGAAGAAAGAGGTGAACTATGTTAAATTGTTATCATGATAGTAGTAATAATCGAAATGAACCCAAAATGATGAAGTTTCCAAGTAATAACAAAAATTACGTTCTCCAAAGATAACATCTAAGCATGAAAAGAAAAACATTACAAGCACTAGTTTGATAAGGAATAAGAGTACCCACAGATGCCCGAAGCGTATCTTCCATAATATTCACTGCCCAATGCCATTGACCAGCTCAACCATGTGCATTGATGAGGGCATTGTAAGTTTCAGCATCAGGCTTGCACCTACCAGAAAAATAACAATTATAGACAATAATGTCACTGGGGAAAATTCTAATGGGACCAGTGCATCTTACACATCACAACAAGGTCCAAGTTAAAAATAAATAAATAAAAAAAGGAGTTCATGCTTTTTAGTGCATATCAACTATATAATGCTTCATTGTTGAAGGATTACAAGTCTGCTTGTAAGAGGATTTTTGTGTAGGTAAAAAACACCTCAAAGTCTCTTTTCCTTGTGCCAAGCACTCCAAGTTTTCAATTTCATGGGAACTCAACTTCTTTAGCTTCTTACAAGTTGAAACCTTAACATTACAAAAACCTCAAATAATCCTGCAACCAATGTTCTTTTCGTAGACTTCAACATGTTAGTGGCCCCTTTCTCTTCCTATGAAAGCGGTTGGTACAAGGTCTGTAGCGGTTGCGGTAACCGAAACTGCGAATTTTTTTATTTTTCGCACAATTTGAAAAAAACTTACCGATACGCATATTTTTTTTTTTTTTCAAAATCATATTTATTGGATAATAACATAAACTTTGATAAATTTTTGATAATTTTTAAGTATGATCCAATATATTTCATATTTTCAAATCACTATAAAATGAGTTTTTTTACATTTTATTTCATTAATTAATGACTTTATATGTCATAAATCCATATTACAGTTGTGGCAAAAATTCCTTTTATTGGACTTAGATGTATAAAATTATTTTTAATTATTATACTTGTGGAAGCATATGTAGATTTTAACTTAAATAGTTTTTAAAAAGTATATATCCTTAATGGAAGAACCTAACAAAGTACATAACATAATAGCACAATTCACAAATAACAGAGATTACATTTTACATAATGTTACTACTAAAATTGCATAATGTCACTACCAAAATGAGTGACGTTGTGCATCTTGGGATTCAGATTGTTGAGCTTGATTGTTGCTGCTATCTTCAACCCACCAAAATGAGTGACATGGTGCATCTTGGGATTCAAATTGTTGAGCTTGATTGTTGTTGCTTCCTTCACCCCACCAAAATGAGTGACATGGTGCATCTTGGGATTCAGATTGTTGAGCTTGATTGCTGCTGCTACCTTCACTGTATCCAATAGGAAATTATAGAAGTGAATGTGGTCATCATGTCATCCCTTTCTATTTGGTGCACTAGGGGAGAAAATGCATACCTTGGCTGAAAAGGATCAACATACTCTTCTTAGGCTTGTAGATAATTTGGCAAAACGTATCCTAGAGGACCATGTTGTTGAGGGGTCCAATGGTAATTTTGTTGAGGTGGGTAAGGATAGCTCTGGCTATCACTACTATAGGATTGGTAAGGGTGATATGGATGATAACTCTAACTAATATAAGATGAATCAAACTGTTGTTCTATGCTTCTTATTCTTCTTTCATCCCTACATATATCCCTTACCACGAAACCTTGTAGGTAGTTGGGGAAAAGGTGCAACAGGTTCTCCAACATAATAATGTTCTCCAATATTGCATAATCCAAATCCTCTAATAAAATCTTCATTTCCTGCACCAAAACTAGTACCATCACCACCATTGTCGCCGCCACCATCACCGTGAGAAGTGCCTCCACTGTCACCATCTTCACCTCCTCCATCAGATGGTGTTAAACCGCTACTATTGTCACTTTGAGTTGGAGTAAGAGTTGAGCTTTAAGAAGTGCGTCGAACTTGATATTTATAGTTGTCACCACCATCGTTTCCATCGCTGCCATCGCCATTGCCGTCGCTGCCGCCAACACCACCACCACCATCATCATCATCTGAGACCAAATCTGGCCATTCAGAATTATCCACACCATCTCGTAAAGGATTTTCCCTTTCTTCTATCCATGGACTTATTAGATCATCTTCTTCAAATATGTGATCCAAGTTAATAGGATTTTCCCTTTCTTTTAACGTGTCTCAATATTAATCTCATGTTGTAGGTGATGAAGACTAATCTTTGGATTTTCTTATATTTCAATTTATTCCTCATCTTTGTATGGATGAGACTAAAAGTACTCCAGTGAGATGATGTGGTGGTTTGATTTAACACTTCCACAGCTATTTTTTGAAGTTCAGGAGCACAACTACCATGAATAATCTACCACTCAGCTACATAAAATTACATTACTTTAGACATAAGTCAAAATAAGATAGAAAATTATTTAAGTATTCATGTATTGTAAATTCGTAATTTTGAAAATAAAACCTGGATTTGATTGTTTTCATGCTTTTTGTGCTAAAGGAGTGCCAAAAGTTTCCTGTTTATCTCAAAATATCAACAACTACAATTTGGACAATCATTGCAAGTAACATTTGCAAAAGTAGATTATTACTATTAAAATTTAAATAATTGGTACGTACTTGATATGTTACTTTTACTTGAGCATCCATATTAGGCTCCAATTTGGTAATTACTTTTTTAAGTCCATCCATCACTTCTCTTATTATTTCATTGGATGAGGCAATACCATATTGGAATTGAGGATTTAAAAAATATCCTTCAAAAAAAAAAAAGGCAATTAATAATTGAAAGTAAATATACATGTTATAATTGAAATCGTAACACTTACCAGCCGCATGCAAATCTTGATGTAATTGAAAAGACCATCAAGTTTCAATAATTTTTCAATACTCAGTGTTTTAATTGCCAACTTTGCTCTATCTATACCTTCATATATGAAACCCATTGTTGGCTTCTCATCCTCATCAACCAACCGCAATACTCTAACAAGTGGCTCATGAGCTTTACAAAACTCTGTTGCTTTCTACCAAAACTCATTTCCCAAAATAATTTTTTTGACCTTGTAAGCCTTCCCCTATCTAGAATTCTTCCACTCATCACTATTAAACATAGCTCTCAATTGTTGTTCATATCTAACAATACTCTCAATGGCAATAAAATTTGTAGCAAATCGAGTGATGGCAGGTCGAATCAATTCTCTATCTCCATTGAATTTTCTCATTAAATCTAACATCCATCCACTATTATAAATGAAATTGGTGATGGTTTTACCATCTTCAATCACCTTTGCAACACTTTTCTTATTGGCTATGTCTTTTAGCATGAGATCGATACAATGTACCGAACAAGCTGTTCAATATAAATGTTTCATTTTTCTCATTAACATTTTTCCACCAACTTTCAGTGCAGGTTCATTATCAGTCACCACTTGAACAACGTATTGCTCTCTAATTTCATCAACAACTTTATCTAACCCAAAATAATATTCAGCAGTCCTACTAATAATATTAGAGGTATCAATTGATTTGTGAAATATAGTACCTCTATTGCAGTACACTAAGAAGATGATGTGTTGCCGAGTTAGATTGCTCCAACCATCACACAAGATGGATACACCTCTCTTTGCCCAAATTCCCTTGAATGATCCTATCCATTCTGTCATTTCATCATGCTCCATGCCCAAATATACTTCAGAAACTTCATAACCATTAAGACCCTTTACTCCTGGCCCTACTTTAGTAGCAACATCAAGCATGGGTTGTGCATACTCTAAATCAACTGCATTGAATGAAATACGATTATAGAGTATAAACTTGGACACTGCCTGTCCCAATCTCTCCCTTAACTTCTGTCAATTCATTGTAGAGATTTTTCGCTACTTTGTACTCTTGCTCTTTTGGAGGTCTATATCCATTGCTCTCAGCCTTGCTTCAGAAGCATTGGGCTTAATCCAAATACAACCACTCCCACCAATTTCACGCACGGATTGTGATCGACGAAAAACATTAGCAATACCTGACTCTTTTGGCATTCTTTCACCACTACCCCTTACACCAGAACTACCACTTGCATCATATTGTGATCCATGACCTGCAACACCTCGTCTAATTTTTTGCTTTTCCTCCTGTTGTTGTTCTAAACGAATACTCGCTTGTCTAGCCCTGGTCATCTCTGGATCAGAGTCAGAGTCATCATCTCGAAGATCTACAAAATCTCCTTCTTCATCCTCATCATAGAGATCATCTCCCCTAATATGTGGTTCCAATTCAACTTTTCTCTTTTGTTTGTCTGTTTTACTCATTTTCTTATCTTGTAAATGTTTCATCATTTCTTACATCACGTGTCTACTATCATCAGGACAAGAATGCACTTGCCCCATTTGATGTGCTAAGTGTTATTTGAAACGCGTAATCCCACCTTTAATGAGATGTCCACAAAATTTGCAAATAATATGATGCCTAGTGCCTTCAACTCGAGTTCCAAATTTCCAACCAATATCATCACTTGTGGGTTCATCATTAGCACCCTTTTGTCGTGGCATTTTCGAATTTGAATTCTACATCATTGATACATTTTTTAATTTATTTTAAATGTTTACAAAATTATTTTTGAGCAAAACTTGAACTAAACTATATTTACAATTATTAAATGAAATGATTATAAAAAAATTGCAACCACTATTTGTACATTTGGATTTTACATGCTAATGTAACCATATAAAAATTAAAAAATAAATTATAAAGATTTTTTTTTTTTTTTGAACTATTGATTTTCTTTTTTTTAAATATATTTTTGAAAAAAAAAAATGTTGCCATAAAAATTGTTGTCACAACACATCACAATAACAAAATAAAAAATATTTATAATTAAATATTAAATGAAATGATTATGAAAAACATGCAACCACTATTTATACATTTGGATTTTACATGCTAATGTAATCATATACAAATTAAAAAATAAATTATAAAGAAAAAAATCCATACATAGTTGTTTTTTAGGCTTGAATCACTTGAGTATTCGTTATCTTTTTGAATAACTGCAAATAAACATAATAATAATCAATAAAAACTAACATATATAAAATGTATGAATATAATTATAGGTGCTATGAATTTTAGATATTATAAATAAAAAAATCAATCACTAATTATTATATATAAAATGCTAAAAGTAAGTGTTTCGCTATATATATTTTTAAATTAAATTGGTAAATATATCACCATAATGTTTTTTGTTTACAGACCAGTGAGAATTATTCAAAAAAAAAAAGGGCCAGTTGGAGACCACACAAACAAAAACAAAACAATATTAAACATCTTCCAAAGGCAGCCAAGCAGCTGAAGACTATTGTTCAAAAAAAAAAAAAAAAGCCAGTTGGAGACCACACAAACAGAACAAAATAATATTAAATATCTTCCAGAGGCAGCCAAGCAGCTAAAGACCATTGTTCAAAAAAAAAAAGGCAGTCGAACAAAACTTTTACTTACAAAGTCACAGGTTTAACACAAGTTCTTCATCTCCTTACAGAGGCAGCCAATATTATTCATCTCCTTCATCTTCAACACAGGTTCTTCATCCCTTCCCTCTTCTCTCTCTATCTCTCACTCCTCTGTATTTCCTTTTCTCTCTGTATCCCTCTTCCCATGAACCATTCTTCCTTATTTTTTTGTCAGAAACTCAGTTTAAGATGGTTGAAAATTTGTGGATCTGAATCTCAATTGGAGAGATTTTAAAGACTGAAGGTTGTGGATCTATTCTGAATATGATGGAATGTCACTTCAAAGTGGTTCACGAGCTGAAAAGAACTCAAGACAAAATATGTTCAACCATTAAGGTATGTACAAAATCTGTTGAATATATATATTTTCAGCTTTTTCTTTTGTTTTTTTTGAAAAGAATCAGCTCAATACAGTGTGTAACGGTGCGTAACAGGCCGTTACAGCATCGTTACAGCCACTACGACAATGGCTACGACCGACACACCTATAAATCTCAATCACACCGCAAAAGCAGGGGTAACGCGTGGTGCCTACCACCGCAACCGATACGTAACACTGCATTTTGAAACATTGTGCTGGTATCTAGAAACAAGAGGCATGTTTTCAACTAAGTTTTACTTTAAATTCCTCAATAAAAGCAACTTTTCATATTTTTAATTTGGCAAAACTTTATTATGCCCCCAAAAAGTTAAGGCAACGCATAGCAGTTTAGATAAACTACATGATATTCTTACATGTACCCAATGCTTCAAAATGCGGTGTTACATAACGGTTGCGGCCATTACGTAACGGTTGTGGCGGTAAGCACCATGTGTTACTCCCGCTTTTGCAGTGTGATTGAGATTCATAGGTGTGTCAGCCGTAGTGGCTATCATAGCGGCCATAACGGTGAACCACTTTTGAGCTGATTCTTTTAAAAGAAAAAACAAAAGAAAAATCTGAAAATATATATATTCAACAGATTTTGTACATACCTTTATGGTTAAACAAATTTTGTACAGATTTTGTCTTTGTTAAAATTTACCATCACCTACCACACACTTACCATCACCTACCACACACTCACCTACTACACTCACCTACTCCTCACCTACCACCACCTACTCCACTACACCTACATCTATATAAGGAACCATTTGTAATAGACAGAATAATCAAATACAACAACATTCATCAATCAATAATACATATATTTTTCATGGTATCAGAGCAAGGTTAAGCACTTAGTATTTTTCGCTTCACCGGCGGGCGGCAACCTCGCCTTGGCCGCCCGCTGGACCTCAACCTAGTCCGCTAGAATTTTCTACACATACCTTAAAATTTCTTCGAGTCCACCACCTTCACGCCCAACACCTTCGAGTCGATGAGTTTCCCTTTTGTGTGCATTTGGTCAGCTGGGAGAAGGAGAATGTCTCCAGTGCGGCACTGGAACTGGAAGCTGCACGTATTGCGTGCAAACCTTGTTAGAAGAAATATTGCAAGCTAAAGAGCATTTGCGCACCCATTATGATGAGTTATTTCCTATGATCATCCTGATATATTTCCAGTAGATCTCTACACATGGGAGCAATTCTTATGGGCTTGTGAGCTCTGGTACTCTAATGGCATGAAAGTAATGTTTACTGGTGGAAAGCTACAGACATACTTGGTACCTGTTGCAGGCTTTCTAAATCACTATCTTTGCCCGCATGTGTTGCACTATGGTAAAGTAGATTCTGTTACAATGACACACTCAGGGCACCACACACACACAGAGATACATTGAGGGCAGACCTATGCACATGGTTTTGTCCCCCTCTTTTGCTTTATTTTATTTGGAGTTGTATAATGCTCAAGTCATAAGTACCAGACAAAGCTACACGTAAACAACTACACCACAAACATTCCACACACTTGTCATTTCTTCATGCCGGGATCAACCCTGGTCAAAAAAAAAACAAAAACAAAAACAAAAAAAACAAAAAAACAAAAAAACAAAAAAACAGCAAAGACCACCATCACAACAAACAGTGGGATTTTTCCCTTCTCTACTCTGCTGCCGGTCTTTTCTTCTTGCCTCCGTCCTGGGCGGTCCTTGACGGTGCTGCCTCTGTGCTTCCTAATCCACCAAGCACATTCACTCCCCCCTGCTCCTCCACTGCAGCATATGGCGGACCTCCAAATCGGAACATCACGGTGGCCTTCCGCTTCAGCTCCTTGTTTTCCGCCTTTAGCACACTTATCTCTGCTCGCGCATCCTTATACATGCGCTGGAGCAGAGCCAGTTGGGCGTTTAAATGCTGCACCTCATTTGTCCTACTCTGCAGCCCGGTTCGACCAAGGTTGTAACCGCAGTCATGGTTTCCACACAATGAACTTCAAAGTATACTGATTGGCCCCACATCCGACTGCACGCCATTCTTTGCTCCACAGGAGCCGCATCGAAAAGTCACGGAGCAAACTCCGGGGCGCTTGGTTGAGGGTTCCCAGTGCCACCGTACGACCAAGTTATCTCTCTGTTGACTCGTTGAGGTCTGGAAAGAGAGTGACAGGACTCCGGGAAGAAGAGGCCGATTTTCCTGGGACATTAAGTTTCAAAATCTCTCGTTCCGAAAACGCAGAGTTTTTTAGAGGAAGGGTTGATCCAGGAGGTATTTTCAGAGTGTTTTCAGTTTCTGACAAAAGTTCAGAGGTTTCAACCTGGTTTGGTTCCACAGCCTCCTGCATTGGCTTTATATCGAACTGAACGACGCGCGACACGCCCACTCTGTTCGATCACGTGCTCGGCGCGGTCTCGCGACTCACCTTTTGATGGCTCGGACTGCTTTCTGTTCGGTCACGCCTTTTGATATGGAAGTGGGCGCGCCTTTTGAGGCGCGGACTTGAGGGCTCACTAAATATATCCATATAGATAGATATAATAATTTTGGGCAGCCTATATACACCTCATGACAGCGTGTATTTTTTAGAGGTTCCGACAGAGCACTTCTGTTAAACTGTCCCGACATCTGGATGTCCGGTTAGCTCCTTTATTGGGTCCGACAAGACTCTGTTAAGACTGTCCGACATGTGAAGTGGTCCCGTTAGCTCCTTCATGGGTCGCACAAGACGTCTTGTAAACCTGTCCCGACATTGATTCCGTTGCTCCTTATGGGTCCGACAAAGACTCCTGTAATTCGATTGATTCCGTTAGTTTCTACACAGGGATCCAACAAGCGACTCCGTACTGTCGACAACTGTCACCACACACTGTCACAAAACATTGTTCTGCTACAACGGTCCGACATGACCCCATAAACTGTCTTCTACATCAGTCTGACACCGCCATCCAGTGTCCTCTACACCGTTATGACACCACCATACAGTGTCCTCTACAACGTTATGACACCACCATCCAGTGTCTTCACCAACTGTCTGACACGACCATACAGTGTCTCCTATCCTCTTTTATTTTTATGTATTTTCTTGTTTTGTTACTCTCTCCAAACTCAAGTTGGCTAGTACCTATCCTCCTTGAGTTTGAGGGGGGCTGTTAATGTACATTGTATAATTTACCATCACCTACCACACACTTACCATCACCTACCACACACTCACCTACTACACTCACCTACTCCTCACCTACCACCACCTACTCCACTACACCTACATCTATATAAGGAACCATTTGTAATAGACAGAATAATCAAATACAACAACATTCATCAATCAATAATACATATATTTTTACAGTCTTTAGTTCTTTGAAGCCTGTGAACCACTTTGAAGTGAGATTCAATAATATTCAAAATAGATCCACAGCCTTTAGTCTTTAGAAACTCCAATTAAGATTTAGATCTTCAGATCCACAAATTTTCAACCATCTTCAACTGAGTTTATGATAAAAAAATAAAGAAGAGTAATTCATGGGAAGAGGGATACAGAGAGGAGGAAATACGGAAGAGTGAGAAATAGAGAAAAAGAAGAGGGAATAGATGAGGAACCTATGTTGAAGATGAAGAAGAGATGAATAATATTGGCTGCCTCTGTAAGGAGATGAAGAACCTGTGTTAAACCTGTGACTATGTAAGTAAAAGTTTTGTTCTACTTCCTTTTTTTTTGAACAATGGCTGCCTCTGGAAGATATTTAATATTATTTTCTTTTGTTTGTGTGGTCTACAACTGTTTTTTTTTTTTTTTATGATTTTTTTTTTTTAATTTTTTTTTTTAAACAATGGTCTCCGGCTGCCGGCTGCTTGGCAGCCTTTGGAAGATGTTTAATATTGTTTTGTTTTTGTTTGTGTGGTCTCCAACTGGCTCTTTTTTTTTTTTGAATAATTCTCACTGGTCTGTTTTTTTTTTTGATTAATGATCTCCAACTAGTTTGTAAGCAAAAAAATTTATGGTGATATATTTAGCAATTTTAATTTTAAAATATATATAGCTAAGCACTTTTAGCATTTTATATATAATAATTAGTGATTGATTTTTTTTATTTATAATATCTAAAAATCATAACAGCTATAATTATATTAATACACTTAATATATGTCAGTTTTTATTGATTATTGTTATTTTGTTTTTTTATTTGCAGGTTATTCAAAAAGATAACAAATATTTAAGTGATTCAAACCCAAAAAACAACTATGTATGAATTTTTTCTTTATAATTTATTTTTTAATTTTTATATGATTACATTAGCATGTAAAATCCAAATGTATAAATTGTGGTTGCATATTTTTTATAATCATTTCATTTAATATTTAATTATAAATATTTTTTATAGGGAAAATTAGTCTTAAGGTCCCCCCATTTTTAGTAATGGAAGAGATCCACAATATTATTTTATAATGTCTAAGGTTGTAAAACCCAAGTTTTGAATATTATTATTTTTGGATAGATTGGTAATTACATTAATTTATATGGGTCACTTAGTAATATCAAGAATTAGTTATGAGGTGGCATGATAATTTCTATTACTGAGATGGGTAATTTTGTAATTTTAAGAAATTAGGTTAATAACCCTAAAAAATATATATATATATATATAAATAAAAAGAGGGGAAAAGGGGGTTTCATATTTCTTTTATCACGACTGCGCAGTGCATCCTTAGAAGGAACGACAGTTGGAAATTGAAGCCACTGAATGTTCTTGATTGCCCAATTGACTGAGGTATTTTTGCCCCATTGTTTACTTTATGTAAAGGGATCAATTGTTTATTATGTTATGTACAGGGGTCAATAGGTAGTCAGATGGTTTTGGGAAGGAAATTTGTGTGGATACCTAAATACTGAGAGTTTGGATGCATGGAGCAACGTGTATGTGAAATTGTATGGGTTATTGGAAACAGTGCAAATTATTTGCAATAGAATTTGGTACATTAGATAAGGTGTGTTTAACTATTAAATTAAGGGAATTGATTTGATATTTCTTGTATATTAAAGCATCTCATATATGCAGTGGGTTCTTGTGGATATGTAAAAGACACAAAAATATTTCTTGTATATTAAAGCATCTCATATATGCAGTGGGTTCTTGTGGATATGTGAATGACACAAAAATATTAATTTGTTTGAGGTTATATTTATTAGGTTCGTGCGATTGAAGTGGTGGAGTTGAGTATTTGAGATTAATTTGGGAAATATTAGTTTAGCTGTTTGAGGTAAGTAACCCTCTATCACTGTTGGTACATTTTTTATTCCTATTGAATCGTTTAAAATTATAAGTATTTATTTATAGCCTTCTTGTTCTCTTAAAATAAAATATGGGTCAAGTATAAAACAACATCGAATATTATTATGAAAATTATTTGAATATTTTGTGGAACTATTCTGAAAACTGTACTAAACGTTTATTCTGAAAATATCGAATGATTTATTTAAAATTTGTCTATTGTTTGAATTTTGAACATCACTCTAGCCTGACTACGATTTGGACCCTAGCCAATGGGGGTTATTTATTGGCACAGAAACTAATGTCTTTTGGGGCTTTACCACCGGCCTATGTGTGGTTCTGGGCCTTGTCACGGGCTAAGTGACCGTAGTTATTAAGACTTGGGTTTTGTGGATCAAATCAGATTCTGAAGAGTAGAGCTGCGCGGGATTTTTTACATGTGGGAGTGCCGAGAGTAGGACTTTGAATTAAGTACTTGGATTATTGTTTTGTTAATGGATTTTATTAGTGAACTTGGTGGATAATTTCATATGATAAGAATAATCAATTTTTATGGATTTTAGCATTATGATAATTTAGGATTTAATTGGAGTATTTTACATTGTTGGTTATGTGTTGGACTCTTAGCCTTGCATGCTCACTTAAGCCAGGTTGTAATTTTAAAGGCTGGTATAGAATAGTGGTGAGATTGGGTAGATGTAGGATTGGGAACGCTTATAATTTGATATAATGTTTATTTTATTTTATTTTATTTTATTTTTTTTTATGTTTTAGGAGCTTAAGAATAGAATAAGATGAGGTTTTATTATTGATGCATTTAGGTTGCGATGGAACATGAGGAGACATTGGCAAATATGGCTAGGAATACACGTCAGGGTCAAATGAATCGACGGACTGGTAGTAACAATCGGCGAGGGAATGTGACTAATAATGGTAGTGGTTCTCAAGCAGTCGGAGGAAATCAAGGGCAAGAGTTGGGACAACAAGAACAAGCTGCAATCCCCAATCCAATTGAAATGGTTCAAGTGCTTCAGACGTTGGCCGGGGTGGTGCAACAACAAACCACCATAGGGATTAACTTGACTAGACTTATGGAGCAACAACAGCGGATGCAGCCAGGTGTTGGGCCACAACCAAGGCCACGTTGTAACATTACTAAGTTTAAGAAGATAGCCTTGGCATTTGACGGAGCCACAGACCCTTTGGAGGCTGAAAAATGGTTGACAAAAATGGAATAGTTGTTTCACGTTTTTGAGTGTACGGATGATCAGAAGGTGACCTATGCTACGTTTATGCTACAAGGGATAGCTAATGATTGGTGGCAGATGGAGAAGCGCATACACGAGCATGATGCCAACCCCTATACATGGGAAAGGTTTAAGAATGCATTCAATGAGAAATACTTCCCTAGGAGTGTTCGTCTACAAAAACAGAGGGAATTTTTGAAGTTAGAGCAAGGGAATAAGACGGTTGCAGAATATGAAGCTGAGTTTACGAAGTTGTCTAAATTTGCATCAGCATTTGAAGCAAATGAGGATAGCAGAGCACGAAAGTTTGAAGGTGGACTAAGAACGAACATTATGCAACAGGTGGTTCCTTTCGAGTTACCTACTTTTGGAGCAGTGTTGAATAAGGCTTTGTTGGTTGAGAGTGGCCTCACTAGAGCCCAAGAAGAGAAAGAAGAGAATTATAAGAAGAGGCCTAGTTCTTCCAACTTCCAAACTAACAGCTCGAAGGGCAATGCTAAGAGACAAAACACTTCTTCGGTTGGGAGTTGGGGAAGTCGAACTATGGGTAGTAGTGTTGATAAGAAGAATGATCGGGTACAATGCACTAGGTGTAATGGATTCCATCGGGATAGTGAGTGTCGTTGGAATACTGGGGCTTGTTTCTCTTGCGGGCAATAGGGGCACAGAATAGCCGATTGCCCTAACCGGAAGGGACGTGAGACTGAACAGAAAGAATGGACAAATAAAAAAAAATTCAACAAACAGAGTGTCTTCAGGAAATCAAAAGAAAAATGGAGGTCATAAGCCAAAGACTCAGGGTCGAGTGTACGCACTCACGCAACAAGATGTCCAGACTTCCAACACGGTGGTGTCAGGTACTGTTTTAGTGTCTTCTGTTTATGCACATGTGTTATTTGATTCTGGCGCTACAAATTCATTTGTGTCTATGGGATTTGTTAAGAAACATGGATGGAGATGTGTCTCTAGAGAGATCGACTTATGTGTTGAAACCCCGATAGGAGGGGTTATGGTTGCTGACTTAATTTGCAAATCTCGTGTGGTTAGTATAGATGACAGGAAATTGCTTGTAGACTTAACTGTTTTAGATATGCAGGACTTTGACATAATTCTTGGAATGGATTGGTTGGTAACCAATTATGCTTCTGTTGATTGTCGAGGCAAAAGGGTAGTATTTCAGATTCCTAATCAACCAGAATTTTGTTTTGTGGGTAGTGGAGTTAACACTCCTCTTTTGGTAATCTCAGCTTTGCAAGCTAGACGGTTGTTAAGGAATGGTTGCGAGGGCTATTTAGCTTCTGTGAGAGATACCCATGAGATTGAATTAAAGTTAGAGGATATTCTAGTTATGAAGGAATTTCCCGATGTTTTTCCTGAAGAGTTACCGAGGTTGCCACTAGATAGAGAGATTGAGTTTGCCATTGAATTGATACCCAGTACGGGTCCTATCTCCAAGGCTCCGTATCGGATGGCTCCAGCAGAGTTGAAAGAGTTGAAGGAACAGTTACAAGAGTTACTAGATAAGGACTTTATTAGGCCTAGTGTTTCTCCTTGGGGTGCGCCCGTTTTATTCGTGAAAAAGAAGGATGGTAGTTTTCGCCTTTGCATTGATTATCGAGAGTTGAACAAGGTGACAATCCGAAATAAATATCCTTTGCCTAGGATAGATGACCTATTTGATCAGTTGCAAGGAGCACAAGTCTTTTCTAAGATTGACCTTCGTTCTGGCTATCATCAGTTGAAGGTTAAGGCGGAAGATATACCTAAGACAGCCTTCCGAACTAGATATGGGCATTATGAATTTTTAGTGATGCCGTTTGGGGTGACCAATGCGCCTACAGCTTTTATGGATTTAATGAACAGAGTATTTAAACCCTTCTTAGATCAGTTTGTGGTAGTTTTTATTGATGACATTCTTGTGTACTCGAAGAGTAAAGAGCAGCACGAAGAACATCTGAGAATAGAGTTGCAGATATTAAGGGAGAAGAAGTTATTTGCTAAATTAAAGATGTGTGAATTTTGGTTGGAGAGTGTATCATTTTTGGGTCAGGTGATATCTAAAGATGGGGTGCCTGTTGACCCCAAGAAAGTGGAGGCGGTGGTGGAGTGGAATCGGCCTACTAGTGTCACTGAAATTCGTAGCTTCTTGGGTTTAACAGGATATTATAGAAGGTTTGTTGAGGGATTTTCCCGAATTTCTATGCCTTTAACTCGTTTAACACAAAAAGTGGTTAAATTTGAGTGGTCTGATGATTGTGAGAAGAGTTTCCAAGATCTAGAGAGTCGATTGGTGTGTGCTCCAGTACTTATAGTTCCGTCCGGAGATGAAGGTTTTACCATCTATAGTGATGCATCGAAGATGGGCTTGGGTTGTGTCCTGATGCAAAATGATATGGTAGTGGCATATGCGTCTAGGCAGTTGAAGCCATATGAGCAAAATTATCCTACGCATGATTTGGAGTTGGCTGCCGTGGTGTTTGTATTGAAAATCTGGAGGCACTACCTGTATGGGGTGAAATGTGAGATATTCACTGATCATAAAAGTTTGAAGTATATTTTCACTCAAAAAGAATTGAATATGAGGCAAAGGAGATGGTTGGAGCTATTAAAGGACTATGATTTGACTATCAATTATCATCCAGGAAAAGCCAATGCAGTGGCGGATGCCTTGAGTAGAAAGACCCCGAGTAATTTGGCTACCTTGATCACTGACCAAAAGAATATCTTGGAGGACTTGCAGAGGTTGAATATTGAGATTAGATGGCATAACCATGGAGTGCAGTTGGCAAACCTTAGGGTTCAACCCACATTGATTGATAGAATTAAAGATGCTAAAGGAAGAGATCCTCAGTTGCAAAGACTTAAAGCTGAAATGGAAATAGGGCTACAAATGGAATTTTGTATGTATAAAGATGGAACCTTGAGGTTCGGAGAGAGGTTGTGTGTGCCTAATGATTTGGAGCTCAAGAGAGAAATCTTGAAAGAAGCTCACAGTTCAGGATATACGGTACACCTAGGGAGCACTAAAATGTATAAAGACTTGAAGAGAAACTTTTGGTGGAATAATATGAAGAGGGAAATTGCTCAGTATGTTGCTCAATGTTTGGTATGTCAACAAGTGAAAGTTGAACATCAGAAACCTGCAGGTAAGTTACAACCTCTTCCTATTCCCGAGTGGAAGTGGGAACATATTACCATGGATTTTGTGACAGGGTTGCCTAGGACCCAAGGTTACAATGCTATTTGGGTTATCGTTGATCGATTGACCAAATCCGCTCACTTTCTATCTTTTAAGGTGGGGTTCTCCTTAGAGAGGTTTGCAAAACTGTATATCAAAGAGATTGTGAGGTTGCATGGTATTCCGATGACCATAGTGTCGGACAAAGATAGCAGATTTGTATCTATGTTTTGGAGGAGTTTGCATGCAGCTTTGGGTACTAGTTTGAATTTTAGCACTGCCTTTCATCCTCAAACTGATGGACAGTCAGAGAGAACTATTCAAACCTTGGAAGACATGTTAAGGGCTTGTGTTATTGATCTTGGAGGTTCTTGGGATGAGCATTTGACCTTAGTGGAATTCTCTTATAATAACAGTTATCATGCGAGCATTCAGATGGCATCATATGAGGCTTTATATGGACGGAAGTGTAGATCACCTATTTGTTGGGATGATGTGGGCGAAAGAAAGTTGTTAGGGCCTGAGATTGTGCAACAAACAGTAGACAAGATCAATCTTATTAGAGAGCGACTTCGCACTGCACAAAGTAGACAGAAAAGTTATGCAGATAACAGGAGACGCGATTTGGTGTTTGGGGTTGGAGACCATGTGTTTCTTAAGGTGTCTCCTATGAAAGGAGTAATGAGATTTGGTGTTCGTGGTAAACTGAGTCCTAGATTTGTTGGACCATTTGAGGTTTCAAATCGAATTGGAGAGGTAGCTTACAGACTTGCTCTACCACCCCTTCACTAGCTGGAGTTCATAATGTTTTTCATGTCTCAATGTTAAGGAAGTATATACCAGATCCTAGTCCTGTAATTGATCATGCACCGTTGCAGTTTAAGGAGGATTTGACATATGAGGAACACCCTATACGAATTGTTGATAGGAAGGAACAGGTTTTGAGGCGTCAAGTCATCCACTATGTTAAGGTTCAATGGAGTAATCACTCAGAAAGAGAAGCAACTTGGGAACTCAAGGATGAAATGAAACGAAAGTATCCACAACTTTTTGAGACTTCAGGTATGTCAAATTTCGAGGACGAAATTTCTTTTAAGGAGGGAATGATGTAAAACCCAAGTTTTGAATATTATTATTTTTGGATAGATTGGTAATTACATTAATTTATATGGGTCACTTAGTAATATCAAGAATTAGTTATGAGGTGGCATAATAATTTCTATTACTGAGATGGGTAATTTTGTAATTTTAAGAAATTAGGTTAATAACCCTAAAATATATATATATATAAATAAATAAAAAGAGGGGAAAAGGGGGTTTCATATTTCTTTTATCACGACTGCGTAGTGCATCCTTAGGAGGAACGACAGTTGGAAATTGAAGCCACTGAATGTTCTTGATTGCCCAATTGACTGAGGTATTTTTGCCCCATTGTTTACTTTATGTAAAGGGATCAATTGTTTATTATGTTATGTACAGGGGTCAATAGGTAGTCAGATGGTTTTGGGAAGGAAATTTGTGTGGATACCTAAATATTGAGAGTTTGGATGCATGGAGCAACATGTATGTGAAATTGTATGGGTTATTGGAAACAGTGCAAATTATTTGCAATAGAATTTGGTACATTAGATAAGGTGTGTTTAACTATTAAATTAAGGGAATTGATTTGATATTTCTTGTATATTAAAGCATCTCATATATGCGGTGGGTTCTTGTGGATATGTGAAAGACACAAAAATATTAATTTGTTTGAGGTTATATTTATTAGGTTCGTGCGATTGAAGTGGTGGAGTGTATTTGAGATTAGTTTGGGAAATATTAGTTTAGCTGTTTGAGGTAAGTAACCCTCTATCACTGTTGGTACATTTTTTATTCCTATTGAATCGTTTAAAATTATAAGTATTTATTTATAGCCTTCTTGTTCTCTTAAAATAAAATATGGGTCAAGTATAAAACAACATCGAATATTATTATGAAAATTATTTGAATATTTTGTGGAACTATTCTGAAAACTGTACTAAACGTTTATTCTGAAAATATCGAATGATTTATTTAAAATTTGTCTATTGTTTGAATTTTGAACATCACTCTAGTCTGACTATGATTTGGACCCTAGCCAATGGGGGTTATTTATTGGCACAGAAACTAGTTTCTTTTGGGGCTTTACCACCGGCCTATGTGTGGTTCTGGGCCTTGTCACGGGCTAAGTGACCGTAGTTATTAAGACTTGGGTTTTGTGAATCAAATCATTGAACCATCTGAATATCGAACCATCGATTTGAACAATGAATTACTTCGAATTATCTTGTTGACTTTTCATTTAAAATGTATTGTACATTGTTTATTTTTAGCTATGAAACCATCTTACAAATAATTGTTCATTTATTGAACTGTAGAAAAATTTATATTTATTGGTTATCGATTTATTTATTAATTTTTTTATACTTGATCCAGCTAGCAGTGATGGTTATTTACTGGGCTT